TGTAAGCGTACAAGTAGATTTACAATGTGTAATTTGATTTTGTTTTCCATTAGATAAGACACACGTCATGGGCAACACTCCAATTGATTGTCTCTCTCTTCTTTCATTTTTTATCCTTTTTTTTTTTGGGTTCCAGTATTGACTATTGGGATATTTTTATTATTTTTTGATTGTGATTTTTTATTTTTAGTAAATTTTTTAGTTTTTTTGAAAATTAAAAAACTATATATTTGCATAAATTTACATAAATTTAAATAATTTTGAATTAATAAGTAATAATAATGTAGTATTTGTGGGATTGTAATAGTAGAGAAATTGTGGATTCAAGATTATATAGGTGATGAATGTAAAATTGTTAGACCAATAGCAGTGGTTTGAGTAAAAAGTGGTCACAACCCATGCCACATTAGATTTTCATGGCCCGTTTCCGTAAAACACTATTTTTTTCAATGGTAGTTACCAGATTGGATAATTATTGTGGCTCCATTAATTCTTTCCTTCCTCTCTTTTTTCTGGTTCATGAGCCCACTATATTCAATTTTTTACTATTGTGGATCCATTAATTCTTTCCTATATTCAGTTGTAATAATTGTGGTACATTAGTTCTTTCCTTCCTTTCTTTTTTTTTTTTTTCTGGTTCACGAGCCCACTATATTCAGTTATATTCAGAATTTTGTTAAGTAATAGAAGAAAACACGGTGCTTCATTATTCAACTCCTTACAGTGAGAGCAAGCCCAACGGTAAGTAATTGGCCTAAACAATATGTGCCAATTACCACCCAAACAATTCCCTCCAATTGAAGAGAGTTGAAAGCAAAAAAGCACATTTGCTCTACTGTTACTGGTAAAATATCAAGATGTAGGGCCAACAATATCTATATGTAGACAGTAAAAGAAAAAAAAAAAGAAAGAAGAGGGTTGCTGTACGGGCTAAATGATCCACAAATCTGGTAACTCCTATTCTATAAAAAAAGATCTTTTAATGGATTTGACCACAAAACCTAATGTGGACTATTTGGGACCACTTTTTACTTGAGCTACATTGAGGTTGCTCTGAATTGAGTCGTAATTGACAGAACTTTTTAGGTCAGTTATCACCCAGTGCGGTTGCTCTTAGATTAGAGCAACCTTTGGGTAACTGGCATTGGAGTCCGGGTCAATTGACACAACTTTTTAGACAACACTATTGCACAACATTACTTTGTACGTATGCGCTCTTTCATTTTTACATAACTTTTTCTGAAAAAAATGGGACCAGTGAGAGACGATCATTTCAAATTCTCTCTGATGGTGGGACATTGAACTAAAAATTCATTGCACATAAAAATTTAATAAGAATGTGTGTAAGTCTGAAACCACATTTTTTTTTACCAAAATGGCTAACAGGAAAAACTGGTCAATCTACCCAAAGTTTTACATTCATTGTCAATACTACCAAATTCTTTTTTGAATAGTCAGTATTATCCTAATCTATCAAACATTAGCCAATTTTGCCCAATCTACCCAATTTTCGTTAAACTTAACGGATTTTTGTTAGTTTTAGTTTTAAAACACCCCAATGGTTTCAAAACCTATAAAAAGGACCCCAAAATTTTTATTAATAACAAAACAGGCTCTTATCATTTTTTATTTAATTTTATTTCTATATTCTATTTCTCTTTATTACTTTTCATTATCATAAAAATGTACAAATTTATAATTACATATTTGTAAGCCATGTTTGATTTACATAAACATATTAAGTTTTTAATAATATGGTTTAACAGTAATGATGCTATTTTTTAATCTATTTTTTTCAATCTAAAGAATAAGATTATTTAACTAAAACTAATTTTACACAAAATAAATTAAACAAATAGCATAGATTAAAAAAGAATTTATTGGTATACTTTAATGTATTATAATTTAATTCAAAAGACTTTAGATTGTATTCTAAAATAGAAAAAGATAAATAAAACTAAAATATAAATTTTCTTTAAATGGCCAAGTGCGAACAGAAAGTAAAAAAAAAAAAAAACACCTATTTCGTTTCTACATCAGCCCAACACAAGAATATAATATTGTGGCACTTACAAAAATGGTACAAAATATTTTATAAAATATATGTAAATTTATCATTGCGAGTTTAACATTTTCTGATAATTTTTTGAGATATTAAAATATCTAACTTTAGCAGGAAGTCTTTTTTTAAAAAAAAAAATAAAGAAAATCTACTCCAGTACTGAACTCTACCTTTTTTTTAAAAAAAAATAAAAATTAGATGGCATATTTTTTAAAATAAATTGTACAGTAGTGTTTAAAAATAAATTGTCTTTTTAAAAAATCATATAGTATATTTTTATAGTTATGAAAAATAGTAAAATGAAATAGAAAATAGAAAAAATTAAATAAAAAGTGAAAAGAATTGTTTTGTTATTTTTACAAATTGCTTGGTTCATTTTTATAATTTTTAAAACTATTAGAGTGTTTTTGTAATTAAATTTAATAGAATTCCATTAATTTAAACGAAAATTGGCAAATTGAACAAAATCGGCTAATAGTTGGATAGTTTATGGTAATATTGAGTAACTGAAAAAGAATAGTTTAGAATTAACAACACATGTAAAAGTTTAGGTAGATTGACTAATTTCTTCTCTGAGTAAGAGAGCTGAGGTTGATCTTAGAAAGTGTAAAAGAAAAAGGTATAATAAAATGTCTCAATGCCTATACTCCACAGCTATAAAGCCAAGAGGTTTCGTTTTGGATTCAATGAACATCACTAAGGAGTAAATTGCCAAGCTGGATTTTTTTTTTCTTTTTTTGTCTTTTTGGTATATTACGATTTCTTTGGCCAAAATCATTATTCTCCGTAGCGCGAACTCGATCTATCTATTTTGAGAAAGAGAACTATCTCAACAATTTTTTGTATTTTGTTTGATAGTTCATAACTTCATAACAATATATGTGATCCACATTAGTCCACGAATTTCCTCACTAGTCAAAGTTCAAAAGACCAGTTTTTGTTCTCTAAAGAAAAGAAACTGCTGAGTGGGACAATGAACATTCTAACGTCTTATCTTACTTCCGACAAATTATTTCTTCTTTTCCAAAGCCGATGATCACCAAAAGGATAGTTTCAACTTTCTACTCAAAAAACAATAATCATTAGAACATAACCTACAATGGAGGAAGAAAAGGGCCACGAGATTGTGATAGTTGGCTCTGGAATTGGGGGACTTGCTATGCTCTTGCTCTTCACAGGTTCATCTTGTTCTGCTTTAACTCTTAAAGTTGCATAGAACGAATTAAAATTTTAAAACTAGCTCCAAAATGTTAAAGATGGTCAAAGTTTAATTAAGTTGATCTCCTTGCACTTGTCTGCTGAGAAGCCATGAAAACTCTAGAATCAGCTTTTAATTTTATTTGTTTTCCTTTTGCAGTAGGTGGTGGATAGAATGATCTCAAATGGGCTCTTTGTAGATAATTGGAATGTTTTTGGCATTGGTTGAAAAAGTTGAGAACTTGATCTTAAAAAGGGGTTTCTCTTTTTTAGGCCTCTAAATTTCTAATGATCAAGTTGCATTACAGGAAAGGGTTAAAAGATTTGTTAGTTTGTGAAAGATCAGAGAGTCTAAGAGTTGAGGGGACAGCAATAGGGATAAATTCGAATGGATGGCGGGCGCTTGATCAGCTTGGTGTTGGACATCAGCTTCGAGACAAGGCTTTGCTTCTTCTAGGGTACAGTAGTTGCAATATTGATGAATTCGTAAATGTGTTGATGTCTGATTAATGCAATGACAAAGTTATAATAGTTAAACTATATGTGATAATTAGTGCAAGATTGATCTGGTCAATTCTGCTCCTGTATAAGTTATGTGCTCTTTGTTTCTACTGATATGCTGAGAAGATGTATGGATGGACCAAGGAATGGTACAAAAATTGCCTTGTGGTAAGTTCGTGTTTTCCTTTTTCACATTAGTACCCCCTCAATACCATTTTAATACACATTGTGGTAAGTAAAGGGGCCTGAAGATAAACTACTAACCATGTGCCACCATTAGTTTGTAGTAAACTGGCCTTGGTTCGTACATTGGAAAATGATTTGCATGTTAACAGTCCAATGAGATGAGAGACAGATGAGGAGTTTCAGTTGTAAATATATTTTTATCTCCAAGACATATTTCTGATTGAGCAGAACATGTGTAGTTGCAAATGATCCGTTTCTCTATTTGTCTGATCCATTGCCTGTTAATCTTCAGCTACGAACTTATGCCTATACCCTTTCAAACCTATTTGATAGGAATGGTGAAGTTCGTTGTTTGAAAACAAGAGACTTAATAGATGCTCTTGCTGATGCTTTGCCACCCAAAACCATACGGTTTGGATGCAATGCTATCGGAGTGAAAATTGATCCTCAGAGTTTATCCGCAGTCCTTCAACTTACTAATGACAAGTCAGTCCGAGCTTAGGTAAGTTAATTACCTTTTTGGTCCACCTAGCATGAAAGAATCCAGGAGGACATCAATATAAAATGTCGTCAAATTATTATGCTCACCAACTAGATCTTCACAGGCTCTGATTGGATGTGACGGATTAAATTCTAAAGTGGCAGATAATCTTAGATTGAAACCAGCATCTTTGTGGAAGAGTTCCTATCAATGATAAGTCGGTATACTGGTTTGTGGCTGTTATCTCATCCAGGTAATCAACTACCATTAACACTGTTGTTTCTCGTTAGTTTTTCCTTCATGATTCTTGATTAACAAAACATTTTTCTTTGGTCAATTCTTTAACACATGATTGAGTTGTTGAATCACCCAAGTTCTGAACAACTCAACTAGGACCACTTTGGTGTAAATTCTTTTTCTTTCAACTTGACTCCTTAAAAAGTTGGAATGCCAATCAGTTTCATTCTCAACCATCTACTAATATGTTGCAGATGGGAAATTTCCAAATGATCCTAAACATATCAAACAGGAACCTTGAAAATATTGAAGGGTTTTCCAGCTAATACTGTAGAGATGATTGAGAAAAGTGATCTAGACTCATTATCATTCACACGCTTGCGACATCGCCACCCATGGGAGATACTGGTAGGAAAATTTTACAAAGGATCAGTGGCTGTACTTGGGGATGCAATGCATGTTATGGGTCCATTCTTGGGTCAGGGCGGTTCAGCAGTCTTAGAAGATGCGGTGGTTCTTGCTAGAAATACGGGGCAGAAGATTAATAATCTCGGTCAATCTGAAGGGGTGCAACCAATTAGTAGACACATGCAGATAGAAGAAGCCTTTGATCAGTATGTTAGGGAGAGAAGGAAGAGGATTGTGCAATTATCATTGCAGACTTACCTAATAGGTGTGATTGTGGGAAGCAAGTCATCTGTGGCCAAATTTATTGCTATTGTCATACTGGTTATCTGTTTTTGAGATCAAAGTGCACATTCCAAATATGATTGTGTGCCAAGCTATGAATAAAGTATCAAGACAAAAGAACAATCATATGTACATGTAGAATGCCAAGCATGTCTACCTTTACTTTGATATCTACTGATAGTCCTGCTGATTCCTTGGTACTGTTGAATTACCCGAAACAGCCTAAATTTCACACTGACACCGTCAAACTGTTTGCTTAATGTATAACGTAAAGCTTGCTGACATTTGTATGAGCTCATTCAGCGATCCTCTTGCCAAATATGCAAATTTTAACATCTGACTGAAATCGGATTGCCTAAATTATTTGCCTCGAGGTCTTTTTCTTCTCGAATTTGGATGTCCAGAGAATTATAAAAATGTTGTCCTTAGATGGTTTCCTCCGTCCCCAAAGACAGTCCACTTTATTGTATAGGACGGAGGATGCACCATGTCGTTGGTATTTCCAATAGTGGTTGCAGGTGGGGAGCAGCTCGCAAGCTTGAGGGGCTGATCAGTGAGTTCTGAAGGTCCTCTGTTCAAATTTTCCATCTTAACTGTAGCAACTGGTAATACTGTCCTTTTAAGAGTTTTTGCGCTTGACTAAATGGTGTCTTTTATATCCCGAAATGCTTTAACCATTATTAGTACAGGGATATAAGACCTTTTTAAGGTTCGACCAACAAGATCGAATGGCTAGTAAAACCAATGATTAGTTTTAATATGATCAATCCATAAAGGTAGAAAAAGATAGAAATGATTTAACTAAGACAACTTGCTGCATCCCGATGATAGTATGGTAGTAGTTGTCCTTTTTTAATGTTTTTTGTTTGTAAAGACTGTTTACTTTGTTCAATGGAGTGACCTTTTTTGTCAATGAAGTAGCACTTTTTGTTCGCTATATATTCAACAGATTCCTCCTTTTGGTTCGTCAAGTTTCAGGTGTTATTCCTAACTGCAACGCATTGCACGTCCTCCCTTCTGCACATTCTTATTCCAGAATGACTGTAACCAGAACTCCGGAACTCAATGCTCCACTTATTATCACCGGTCTGGAGGAAATCGATAGCGATATAGAGCAAAAGGGCAGCCCAAAGAAACATCCAGCATCATCATCAGGTGGATGGAGATCAGCATCTTTTATCTTAGGTAATCAATTTCTCTAGTTCATTGGATCTTTTAGCAGTCTAGTATAGAGATTTTTAGCTATGTATATTGTTGGATTTGAATTCAAATAGGTGGGGGAATTCTTGAGAAGTTTGCATATTATGGGGTAGAATCAAATCTTATTACATTTCTTACTGGTCCATTTGAAGAATCTGTGGCAGCAGCAGCATCTCAAGTGAATACATGGATGGGTGTAGTTTCACTAGTACCAATTCTGGGAGCATTGTTGACCGATTCTTTTGTCGGTCGTTATAGATCGATCATCATTTTTTCAACTCTCTACATCATGGTAATACATATCATGTTTATCTTTCTGCTTCGAGGTTTCATTTGGGGACTGTACTTATTTTTCTTTTAGAATGACAAAAATGTTGAATGAATTCCAGGGAATTGGCCTTTTAACCCTGTCAGCCACAATCATTAGTCCAAAAAGCATTTCAAATTCTTAAGAAAGTACTGAATCAGGGCCTCAGACAAAACGCAGATTCCTGTTTTTTGTATCCCTTTATTTAATGGCACTAGCACAGGTATACAAGGTGTGTATACAAGCCTTTGGAGCTGATCAATTTGATGGAAACCATCAACTTCCAAGTAAAAGCAGAGCTAAGATTTCGTTTTTCAACTGGTGGATTTGTGGGACGATTTCAGGTGCTGCATTATCTCACTTACATTACATCCAAGACAACATAAGTTGGGGAATCGGTTTCGGGATTCCATGTTTTGCTATGATTGTTGGGCTTGTCCTGTTTTTACTTGGAACAGCAATGTATCGATTTCCAGCTGCCAGAGTTGACGACGATGATGAATGCTCCTGCGAGACGATCAGTCAACGATTCTTGCAGGTCAGCGATGATTCGCATAATGTGGTTCATCAATCATTAAACAGCATCATTGGGGGTGAAGAAGATGCTGGTCAAAATTTTCAACGGTTTAAGCAACAATATGTTAAATGATCAAATCAAAATACTGAACTATATTAGTTGATTCCATGAGATTTTCTTCCTTTATATAATTTGGATCTCACCATTTCTTTAATAAATTAGTGCAAGTTGCTGCGGTTTTCTCCTCCGGAATCTTGGAAAAGTATCTGTCAATGACGAAGCTTGGTTTTACACCGCCAGTTTGGTAGTAAAACTCCGGCTAGGGTTTCCTGGAAAAAAGTGTCTCGGGGGTCTCATAAGAGTAGATACTCCAATGTTTAAGTTAGAAAAGGGTTTAAAGAACGTATGAGAGTAGTATTGTGTGCTAGAAATAGCGTACTAGTATTGTGGTATGACCAACCCTATTTATAGGCATGAAGTTCCCTTGAAAGATGCCAAATCTTACTAGGTTTCATGTTCTAGAACTGTCTTTATCAGGTCGGTTGGACCATAATTAGTTGATGGGCCGGTCCAGTAATCCTAGGCGGGTATGGACTCGTCAAGTGTCCCTGTCAAGTATTAGTTATATGAAATAAACAAGACTTGACACAAAATAAAATTGACCTGGACCCGGCCCAAGTGAAATGAACAAGACATGGCCCATATTGCATCGAGCAGGTCTGACAAAGTAGCTCGCGGGCCAGGATCTGATCCAAGAAGGCAACCCGCTTTAAGATCCTGCCCAAATTGTTAAACTGCGCAGCATTAGTGGGCACGTTCCCCAAACGGCGTCATCACCTTTATTGTTTCCTTGAAACTCGCCCGAACTGTCAGATCATGGACTGTAATTGCAGTGCATAAAGGCTTTGGATTCCTCCGATTTTTTCACTCTTGATTTTTGCTCAGAAAAAGGAACTTTTTTCTCCTCCCAAACCCCAGAACTCCAATCAGAAAATCCTCTATAGTATCTCTGTATTTGGGTTGCCAGAAGTGTTCACCGCTGCCGAACTGAGAATAGCTGTGATTAAAGAAGACTTTCTCGACAGCTCCGGGAGCGACCTATTCAACTGCCCCATTTTTTCTGGAGTGACAACTCAGTCGATTATCGAAGGCCGTCGTCGTTGGAGACAATTGTGACCCTGGGTGGGTACAATTCGAAAGGAGAGTGGATACCAGTTCCATCTTAGCTTCCTTTGCAGCCTTTTGCTCTCTTGAATTCCAGTGTAGATTGGCATAGATCGGGATTTACTATTATAAGTAGATAATCATGTCTAGGAACCCAGATCTGAAAACCGTTGATGAATTTGCATCCACCATAGATTCCGATGAGAAAGTAAAAGTTTAAAAACGAGGTATGATCTACCCCTAGATCTAGAAGCTAGAACCGAGAGGGCAAAGTCTCCTCCTGAGGAAAGAATTACCATATATGACCCCTTTATGCATCTAGGGCTTAGATTCCCCCCCCCCCTTTCCTCTGTTCGAGGAGTTTACAAAACTCCCCTTGCTCGTTTTACACCAAATTTGATAACCTTTGTTCTCAGGTTCCCGAAAATATGTTAACGAGTAAAGGTGAAGCCCCAACTGATTTTGTGGAGATACTTTTTCTAGGTCGTTGTCCCCTCAGTACGGTTTTCAAGATTGGTATATTGTCAAAAGACGCCTCATACCTGGTGTTAAGAAGATGGTCGAGGCATACGGCGGTTCACCAGAATGGAAGCCTGAATACTTTTTTGTGAAGGCTTCTGAGAAATATTGCATTGCATGGAACCATCAAGAAGTAGAAGGTCTCGGAACGATAAAGGATGATTGGACCAAAGAGGATGACGAGAGCATTGAGGAGGTGGACGACGATCTTAAGAAAATCCTGAAGTACCCAAAACTCATCAAATAGAGTGATGTGCAACACTATATTCTCCCTGTTCCTGTCGAGGAGGAAAAGGATACTAATGTCGTTGTCAAGGAAGAAAAAGATACTAATCTCTGTATATTTCCTTTGCTGTTTTTAGGTCATGTCGTCGAACAATGCCGTTTCTCGACTGTATGGTGACGAATACCCTTTTCCTATTGTGAATTCAGATGAAGAAGAGTCAACTACTGCAGTGGCTGGAGCCAAGAAGAAAAGGAAGAGACTCGTGAAGGTTTCGGAGAAGGAGAAGAAAAAGAAGGCTGATGTTGTCGCCTCGAAGTCAACGGCTCGAGGAGAGAATATCATGCCTCCTGCAATGGAGAAGACCAGTGTCCCCCCTGCAACCAAAAAGGCCCTCACTCCCCAAGTAGAAGTAGACCCAAGCACGAAGGCACCTGCCGTGGACCAAAGGCCCGCTCGAGGAGGAAGCAACCATTCTGTCGTCTCGTGTGTTCGAGGGAAGACCGACTGTGGTAGTTCATACTTTTGGCGATCCTCTAACCATAGAATGCCCCTTGCTGGATGAGTTTTCTGCACAGCTAACAACAACCTACAACGTGAGGCTGGTAAGTACTTTATAGCCCTTGAGAATATCCTTGCCAATATCCTGCAGACGAACTTTATTTCATTCGCTAAATTTTACAGATGAGTGCGGCTTCGATGGCATACTTGATGCACTTAAGGAATTTAAAGGAGGAGTTGGTCTAGGCTCGGACCGAGAGGGACCAAGCACTTATCGAGAAGGCCGCTCTCGAGGAGAGGAATTGCAGATACAAGCCAAAGAGCAGGAGTTAGCCTCTGTGCAGGCTAAATATAATGAATTGGATGAGAAGCTGAGGGCTTTTGCAGATCTGCATATCTCGAGGGAGGACCTCCACAAATGGTGTGTTGCCTTCTGGTTCAGGATGTTATCTTCAGGTGGCATGACAGCAGCTATCGAGGAGGTCAATTTGGCTACCACAGAGTATGGTGCTCATAGAGTAGCTGTTGCCGGCCTCAAGAGGCTTAGAGGACAGAGGCCCATCAAGGCCAGGTGGTTCAAACAGTTCATGAAAGAGAGACCGAAGAAAAACATGTATCAGGCATTGGTAAAGGTCCTCACGAAGCTCAGTAGCGAGCAGCTGCCTTTATGGGAGGCTCTATGCGAAGCTCTCATTAAGATGGGTACTCCTAAAGATATGGCCATGTTTCCTGGTGATCCCGCCATAATCTTGTCCAAGGGCCCAAGCGATGAGGAGCCAACCCCTGAGGTGCCGGATGAGTATATCGGCATCGAGCTCGAGGAAGAAGATGATGAGGCTTCGAGGGAAGACGTGGCTGATACTGGCAACTCGGGAGTGCAGAAGAACGTCGGAGAGACATCTCCGAGTCATCCCAAGGATTGTTCTGCTGGACAAGATGATGTATGAACTCTTCCCTCTATAATAGCCACTAGGGACTTGAACAATCACTTTTGTAAACAATTCAAGTTTTTATTTGTCCTTTAAATGAATGTCATGTTGTCTTGCCTTCCAAGTCTAATTTTGGCCTTTTCATTTTTTCTGAAAACAGGATAGCTGGTCGGTTCATCGAATCCATCTCATGATTTTGTCGGAGGAACAATCGAGGGAATATCCTCTATTCTCGATGATTAGCGATATTATGAGAAGTCACGCAGATATCCATAGCATCAAGACAGTAATAAACTTAGAAGTGTACCTTCTCGATGCTATACGAGCGCGCAACATGAAAGTCAACCAGCATCTAATTGAGGAAATAAAAGAACTCCGTTCGGAAATGCAACGGCGAGATTATCATAAAGATAAAGACTTTAGTGATTCTCTAACTTTCGAGACGGGCATCTATGATGAGCTTGTTGCTCTAGAAAAAGAAAACGCCCGGGTGAAACAGAGCAAACACATTACCATATCACCATGGTTTTTCGAGAAGCATCAAGTCCTTGCTTGAGTGCAGCACATGATCTCAATAAGAATGCGTCGGTTTATTTCGGCGATGGATATGCTGAAGGAAACAACTCGCGAAGTCAAGCTCCTGATGGGATACATAAGCGAGCTTCAGAACTTACTGTTGGAGAACAATGTCGACTTCCCACCTTTCAAGAAGCCCAAAGAGGTGGTAGATCCAAGAACCAGAAGCTCTCGAGAGGAACTCCTTTTAAGGATTCATTCTCAAGATGAAAAGATTATAGATCTCAAGGATAAGCTCAACCAGTGCGTAAATCTTCTTAGCCTGCATGGATTCAAGGGCATTATCCACCCGTCTCCTGACAAACCCAGCACCGAAATCCTTGTAATTTCGTAGAAAAATATATATGTTCTCCTTGGAACCTTGCACAATATGTGAAGGCAGCAGATGTATAATTGCTTTATAAAACTCGAGTTTCTTTATTTGTATAGCGCTTATCAGCCGGAATACGGCTTTCTTGAGGGAACTGGGTATGAGTTCTCGATTTGTTACCGCGATCTACGGTGGGTACGAGGGAAATTCCTCGATTTTTGTCCGGATGTTGAATGCACGGCTCTGAAAGAGGATGACCCTAAAGAGGGAGTCCATCTCGAAGACTAGTCTCAATATAATGTCGACAATATAAGAAAATATGCAATGACGATTATTGAATAATTACCCGAGGACCCGGGTTAGCATTACATATGAGAAAGTAAAGGCAGTAGAGCAAATAAAGCAAATAACCTAAACTAGCAAGTAGCATACAAAAGACTTAAACGTAGAACCTGTGAAGGTTTTGGACGTTTTGGACGTTCCACCATCGAGGGAGGATGGTTCCAGTGTCATCCAAAGCTTGTAGGCAGTAGCTGCCCACCGGAGAGGCCTGAATGACCTTGTAAGGTCCTTCCCAATTTGCAGTGAGTTTTCCAGGAATCTCGACTCGACTGCCTTCATTTCTCCTGAGCACAAGACCCCCCACGACAAGATCTGTTGTCTGGACTCGTTTATTGTAGTGCTTCCTGAGGATCTCCTTTGCTTCCCTGATCCTGACGGCATCTTGTCGCTCCTCGAGCAGGTCGATATTCAGCCTGATATCATCGTCATTAGTTCTCTCGACAAAGTTGATTGTTTGAGCACTTGCTAGGCCTATTTCGACTGGGAGGACCGCACCCACACCATAGACCAGGCTATAGGGAGTTTCGTCTGTCGAGGAGTGAGCGGTAGTGCGGTACGACTATAGGACATGAGAAAGTTCTTCAGCCCAAGCTCCCTTGGCATCATATAGCCTGGTCTTGATCCCATGCAAGATGGTTCTGTTAATTGATTCTGCTTCGCCATTAGCCTGAGGGTGAGCTACACTTGAGAAACTGCGCTCGATTTGCATTTCTTCATACCATGACTCCAAAGCGACAGACAATGTTTTGCCAGAAAAAGTCCAACACCTTCCTTCCTGATATTGAGGCCAACGGTTTAGCTTCTACCCACTTAGTGAAGTAATCTAATGCTACGATTACCCATCTTACTCCTCCTGCCCCTTTTGGATGAAAAGGGCCGATGACGTCAGAGCCCCCTCGATAGAACGCCAAGGGCTTTAAAAGGTGACCATCTCATGCTGTGGCTATCGAGTAATGAGAGAGAAGCGCTGACATTTATTTCACTTTTGTACAAACTGGTATGCATCCTTAAAAATCGCGGGCCAAAAGTACCCTGAATGCAGTACTTTTTTAGCGAGTGGTCTCACTCTCATATGTGCTCCACATGATCCCTCGTGTATCTCCTCGAGGACGTAAGCTGCTTGCTTCGGTCCGATGCATCTCAGCATGGGTTGCAGGTACCCGTGCTTATAAAACCCCATCTCTCAAAGTGTATTTAACTACTTTTAACTGGAGTGCTCAAGCATCTGATTTGCAACTAGGTAACATCCCATCTATTAGATATTGAATAAACGGAGTCATTCAGGCGTCACCATCTTCGGTAATAGCCATTACGGGAGCCTTCTGAATACTAGGTTTGGGGAGGATCTCGACCCAAATCTTGTGACTGAGATGTGCAAAGTTTGAGGAAGTCAACTCGCTCAATGCATCTGCCCTTTTGTTTTCCGACCGTACAATGTGAAAAATAACGCACTCCTCGAACTTATCTTTTAATTCGAGAACCCTCCCGAGGTATTGTCTAAGCTGCTTATCATTTGTCGTATCATCACCCAGGATCTGATTTACCACTACCTGAGAGTCGCTAAAAACTTGAATTATTTGAACCCCTAGCTTTAGAGCCATATTTAACCCTGCTATTAATGCTTCATATTCAGCCACGTTATTAGTAACCGAGAATCCAAATCTCAATGCGTAGGTGTATTCCGCATCATATTCTTTCATGTTCTTGATCTCAGGATCAGCGGATGGTTTCGCCAGTATGATACCGGCTCCTCCCCCCTTGTCACAACGAGAGCTGTCGACGTATAACGTCCTGGCTCACGGGTTGACATTAACGCAGGTGGTAGGGTGACTCTTAGGCTTTGCGGCTTCTGGGACGTCAGTAGTTCTAGGCATTTCTACAAGGAAGTTTGCAAAAGCTTGACCATTGATTGTTGTTCTTGGCTTATACTCGATATGGTGTTCTCCCAACTCGACTGCCATTTCATCATTCTACCAGAAGCTTCTGGTTTGAGAAGGACTTGTTGAATGGGTTATTCTGTTAACACTTGTATCGGATGTGCTTGGAATTATGGGCGCAGGCGTCGAGTAGCCAGAACTAAACACAAGACAAGTCTCTCCATGGGCGTGTATTGTGTCTCTGCCCCTTGTAACATTTTACTAACAAAGTAAATAGGAATCTCCTTGCCATCCTTGTTTTGGACTAGGACGGCTGATATGGCCTTTTCTCGAGCAGCGAGGTATACATATAAGGCCTCCCCCGGTTCTGGCTTGGCCAATGTAGGCAGCTGTTTAAGATGATCCTTTAGCTCTTGGAAAGCTTTTTGGCGTTCCTCATTCCACTCAAACTTTCTACCTTTGCGGAGTGTATGAAAGAATGGGAGGCTTCTTTATGCAGCTCGAGCGAGGAATCTGTTAAGGCCGCCAAGGATCCTTTAAGTTTCTGGACCTCTTTGACATTCTTTGGGGCTTCCATGGCTAGGATCACCTTGATTTTTTCTGGATCAACACTGATTCCATCCTTGGCTATGTGGTACCCTAGGAACTTACCCGACCCTATGCAGAAGGCACATTTTTTTTGGGTTAAGTTTCATATTAATCTTGCGGAGAATCAAGAAGATCTCACGCATATCCTTGACTACTTGCTCATCTCTGTTGATTTTGATCACCATGTCGTCCACATATATCTCGATGTTTCGGCCAATCTGGTCATGGAACACTCGATTGATGAGGCATTGATAGGTTACACTGGCGTTCTTCAAGACAAAAGGCATCTTTTCATAACAATACACTCCGATCTCGGTGATATTGGCTATCTTCTCTGCATCTTCTCGTGCCATAAGGATCTGGTGGTATCGTTTATAGGCATCAAAGAAACTTAGGGTCCTATACCCAGTGATGCCCTCGACCATCTGATATATGACAGGTAAAAGTTAGCAGTCCTTGGGGCAGTGTTTGTTGAGATCTGTGTAGTCTTGGGACTAGGACTAGATTAGCCAACCAGGTAGGCCAAAGAACTTCCCAGAGGACATTAGTACGGACCAGTTTCAACGTTTCTCCATTGATGATGTCGTTGCGGTCTCGAGCAAATATTCCCTTTTTCTATTGTACGGGTTTAACATTGGGATCGACATTCAACCTGTGCTCAATAACATCTCGTGGCACTACTGTCATATCGGTAGGTGACCAGGCAAATATATCACGGAACTCGCGTAGCAAGGCGATTACCTCGACTAAGTGGTGGCAGGCAAATATATCACGGATCCTTCTCATTAAGAACAAGCTCCTGTGTCTTGCTACTAAGTGGTGGCAGGCAGTTAGTGTCGCGATCCTCCGACCGTGATTGTGCTGCTGCCTATTGGATCGAGTAGCATCCCGACATGGCAGTGCTTGGGTTAGACTTGATGACTTTCTTCCCAATTCTGACAGCTCTGAGCAAGCATTCTCGAGAGCTACGCTGTCACATCTGCACTACTCCAACCTCGTATTCTATGAAAAATTCATCACTAGGTGATAAGGAGACCAAATTGCTCGGGCTTGACACATCCAAGGTCATCCTAGGATCACGTTAAATGGCGAGGGTGCATCTATTAAGGCAAAATCCATGGTTAATGTAATCATTCTGGGATGCGACCCTACCGTGATGGGGAGACTTCTGATTCCGTTTGGAATAATAGTGTGGCCCGAGAAGCCCATAATTGGCATTGCTAGGCGGATATTAGGGTTTTGAATGTTCATCTTTTTGAAGCAATCGCTGTATATGATGTCGACTGCACTGTGTGGAGAGATATCCGGGACTACGTCGCTATCAGTGATGACTATGGCCTCTGTCCCTTTAAACCTCTTGTGACTAGGTTCCTGACGGGGAGTTTTTGTGACAACCCGCACTGAGTTCTTCATGGCTGTGGTGGATAAAACTTTGAGAGGAGCTCCATAAATGGCACCCACCTAGCGAGCGATCTGCTTGGTAGGATCCGCTGGGGGGATATGCTGAAGCGGTTGTGGGGCTCCCTCAATAGCTTGTTGAGGAGGTTGTTGCGTATTGTTCCTCGGTTGCCAATTATTCCCACGGCTTTCTCCTCGAGGACCTCTAAAATTCTGTTTAGGAAAATTTCGTGTTGTACTCGGCTTGATGTTCCTTTGTCGAGAGGATCCTTGCACATATTACTTGAATTTGCCACACTTAACTCCATTCTCAATTTCTTGTTTGAGTTCTCAACAATTCTCAGTATCATGGCCGTGGTCTTTGTGGTATTCACAGTATTATTCCATCGACCCTTTTGGATTGGGCACCAAGGGTTTTGGGGTAGGTAACTCATCCTTGTGAATCTGGAGGATTTTTTGACGTAGCTTAGTTAAAGGCGTCAATTGCCTATCGAGTTTAGGCAATGTTGTCCTACTATCCGTGTTAACCTTTGGTTTGTCTCTCAGCCCTACTAGCATGAAAGATTCTAGTGATCTCTTGAGTTTTGTTCTCGTTGAATATAATTCTCGACAATAGCCCACATGTCTTGGGAATTCCTGGGAGGTTTAGTCGAGAGTTTTACTCCCTGGCCTTTTCCCGCCTTCTTTCTTCCTTGTCTTCGTTGGGAATTCCGTGTTAACCTTCATGGCCTTTTCCCGCCTTCTTTCTTCCTTGTCTTCGTTGGACTTCTGCCAAGGTGGTCTTATCGACTGGGCTCTGCCGCCTACCAGAAAAGGCTGTGCTATTCGTGTCTTCTTCAACCCTGGCCATTGTGTTGATAGTCCCAGAAACCCTAAGTCGCACCGGGAAAAGTTAGGGAAACCTGAGAAGGTTTTCGTGAAACAAACCCTAGTTTTAGTCCCACTGGGCGTGCCACTTGACGAAGCTTGGTTTTATACCGCCGGCTTGGTAGTGGAACTCAGGCTAGGGTTTCCTGCAAAAGAGGGCCTCGAGAGTCTCCCGAGGGTAGACACTATGATACTTAAGTTAGAAAAGGGTTTAAAGAACGTATGTGAGTAGTATTGTGTGCAAGAGATAGTGTACCCGTATTGTGGTATGACCAACCCTATTATAGGCATGAAGTTACCTTGAAGGATGCCGAATCCTACTAGGTTTCGTGTTCTAGAACCGCCTATATTAGGTAGGGTGGACTATAATTGGTTGATGGGCCGGTCCAGTAATTCTCGGTGGATATGGACTCGTCAGTCGAATCAGTCCAGTTTTGTCATAGAAACATTAGGCATTTTTTATTCACTATTGCCAGTGCAAATCTTTTCCCTTGTTTTTGTTACTGTTCAGATTCTAATAATGCAACAAATTCTATTACTGTTGGCAGGGCAAATCTTTTCCCTTGGTTTTGTTACTGCTCAGATTCTAATAATGAAGCCAATTCTGTACAGATTTCCAGTGACATATGCCTATTCCAAGAAGAGGAATCAAAAGACACAGAAGAAATTTTTGAGGATTCTCCCTATTTGGATCACTTGTTTAACATACACTGTCGCCTTAGCTAAGATCTCGACACTATTCACCAAGCTAACGGCAACAGTGAATAGATCCATCAGACCAAATTTGAATGTACCAGCTGCTATGCTCAAAACCTTTATTTCAGTGACAATTACAATATGCATGACCATCTACGACAGGATTTTCGTGCCAGTTGCAACAAGGGTGACAAGATATCCATCCGATATAATAATGCTACAGCGAATAGGAACCGAGATCCATCCTTAACATGATCATTGCAGCTCTGATTAAGACGAAAAGAATGAAAACAGCTTGAGATCACAGCCTGGTTGACATCCTAGATGCAACAGTTCCTATGAGTTTTTGGTGGTTGATTCCTCCGTATATACTGTTTTGAATCGTACTCGTTTTCATCAAGGCTGGAATGCAGGAGTTCTTCTATGATCAAATGCTTAAAGAACTAAAGAGTGTCGGTCTTCCTTTCCACTATGGTGCTGTAGGAATCCGGAACTTCTTGAGCAGCTTTCTTGTATTGTTCATCGATAGAATAACCCCCCAAAATGGCAAGGACGGCTGGTTTTTCGAGTAACTTGAATTTTGATACTTCTATTGGATGCTTGCTGGAATTGGTGCTGTTGTTTCACAATGTTTGTTCATTTCTCTAAGCAGCAAAATGATTTCTGAGAATGCAACCTTCTACTTAGGTCATAGGTTTAGATAAGCTCATATAAATTGATGTTTACTACGATTCAACATATGATTCTTCCGTCTCAAAATTATTATCATCTTGCTACAAACTCTAAAGTTTATGGTTGCCGATCCCAAACTCGAATAAGGGACAACGCCTGTAATTTCAACTTGAAAACCATAATATGTTGCATGATTTTCAACCAAAAGAAACTAACAAATGCTAAATTGCCAAAAATCAATTAATTAATGAATGATATGACATATTCAATCTCCTAAAATATATTTCGCAACTTATAGTTAGAATCATCTTCTTCATCAGCAGCGGTGACGAGTCCATATCCACCAAGGATTACCGGACCGGCCCATCTGCCAATTAGGGCCTAACCGACCGTACAGAGGCGGTTCAGGAACAAGAACCATAGCAGGATTCGGCTCTCCTTCAGGTAATTCCATACCTATAAATAGGGTTGATCTCAACACAATAGAGGTACGCTATCTCTAGCTCCAATAATTTCATACACACTTCTTGATAACCCTATTTTCTGACTTCTACCCTCGGGAGACCTCCCAAGGTCCTATTTTGAAGGAAACCCTATCGGAGTTCCACTATTAAGACGAGGATACAATTCCAGGCTTCATCAAGTGGCACGCTCAGTGGGACCTTTTGACTAGGGTTTGTGTCACAAAGCTTCCTAGACTCTCTCAACCGCTAACGTCAAATTAGGGTTCACCATAGAAAATTAGGGTTCACCCCTAAAAAAGATGGTGGCGAAATTCCAGGAGAAGCACATGCGAAAGAAGAACACCCGCCAGTCAAGAAAAGAGAAAACTCCCACGAGACCATCCAATCCAAGGAAAGAAAGGGAGGAGAACCCTAGCAATCATCGCAAAGCATCCAATCCACATGATGAAGCACGAGTCAAAAAGTTGCAAGACAATAACAACCTCAATCAAAGGAAGAAGAAGTACATGTTCGAAGAATACCGGAGCCGTTGTTTGCTCAGTCAACCTGACCCAACAGACCAAGAGTTGCAGGATTTAATCGACAAAAAAGAGGCACGCAGGACATTGGCTTTGCTCGAGAAGAAGAAAGGCAAATGCAAAGTCCCAAGCGACGAAACCGAGAGTGCCTATAGGGAGACCCCTGAACACGAAATCTCTCAGGAAGAGTGCTCAATTGGTCGTAGCACAGCCTTCTGGAGTTCCTTTGAACGAGCGTACCCTATATTCCCGATAGCACTCGAGGAGTTTGCCAAAGAACGACAACGCAGGAAACAATCTCGTACCTATCATCACTGCAACTCACCTAGTATCGAGGTGGTGTCTGGAAAAGACTGGAACCCCCCAACAGCTAACATGCATTCTCGTATAGGACCCAGAGTTCCTGTGGAAAGATCCCAGCGTGATAATGATGACGGATATCGAGCACCTCCTCGAGGTACAGATTATTCTCGTGGAGGTCGGTACCTAGATGATCATTATGGCCCATGACATTCTTATCAACCTCGACACACCGAGTGGCGCCCCCAAGAAGAACCTTATGTCCCTCGACGTTAGGAGGAATATGGCAATCAGAACCTGTCCGTTCGAGAATCAATGGGAAGACTGATAGGGATAATTGTCGACAAAATTTCTGTTTGTACCAAGGATTCGAAACTGTCCAAACCCCAGGACTTTGACTTCCCCAAGGATTTTGTAAAGTACTCAGGAGATTCCGACCCACAGCAATTCTTGCAGGGATATGTCCAAGTCATGAGAATCCGAAATGCGTCACTTGATTTCATGGCTAAAGCCCTTCCATCCTGTCTCACTGGACAGGCACAATGGCGGTTTGGGCAGTTGCCGGAAGCAAGTATTACCAGCTTCGAGGACTTGTCAGTCAAGTTGGCTACACGCTTCTTTCCAAGCAAGCAGATAACAAAAATGTCAATCAACCTGTCCTCGATTAAATAAGGACAAAACGAGAGCCTTTCCGATTTCCACCGTCGCTTCATCCGAGAAACTCTCCAAGTTGATTGCCTTGATGACAGAGATGTGCGAAACGGGTTCATTCAGGGTCTTAATCCATTCGGAAAATATGCTACTTTGAGGGTGAAACTGTCTATCAAACCTCCTCAGAATACGCAGGAGATGTGGGCCACGGTGGAAAGTTACATCCAGTGAGAACAGACACTTAAACGCTCACAGGAATCCTTCTCAATAGCAAGAGATTGAGGCGGAAGGGACAGGCTCAAATCTACAATAGAAGCCAAAACGACACTGCCTAAGCTCGACAGACAACAGACTCCACTGTTGAAACCCCGATGAGAAATCCTCCAAATCCACAAGGATGAGCTCCCTATTCCAAAGCCACTGGCTCCCAATCCTAATAGGTCCATGGACCAGTACTATGAGTATCATAAGGACCACGGCCATGACGCTGAAGATTGTACGGAGTTAAAATGAGAAATCGAGGCTGGAGTAAAGTCTGGGAAATTTCAACAGTATGTACAAAATGCTTCTCGATAAAAGGGAGGAAAGTTCACGGGACCTCGTAACTTTCCCAGAAAAAACCCCCGTGGCCCTCGAGTGGATAATTGGGGGAAAAACAAGACACTAAGAAACAATGCATAGCAATCCGTTCAGCAACCCATCGACGACAGTCATCAACCCCTCCAACAAGTCCCCCCCGCCTGATCCTGCCAAGCAGATTACTCACAATGTGGGGGGCAATCTACAGGGGCACCACTCGAGGTTCTTTCTACAACGGCTATAAAGGCATCAATTCGAGAAGTAACTACAATGCCTCCACAAGAGCCCAGCCACAAACGGTTCAGGGAACTGAGACAATAGTCTTTACGGATAGTGACGTAGTTCCAGGCATCTGTCCACACAATGACGCTATGATTATTGAAGCCATCATAGGAAATGTTCACGTGAGCCGTGTATACGTCGATAACGGCTGCGCTGTCAACATCATCTATAGCGACTGCTTCAAGAAGATAAACATACAAAATCCCGATTGACGTCTAGCAACCTTACCATTAATGGGCTTCTCGGGGCACACGATTATCCCCAGCGGAATCGTAAGGCTTCAAATCACGGTAGGGTCGCATCCCTGAATGGCAACCTTAACCATGGATTTTTCCATAATTGATGCACCCTCGCCCTTTAATGTGATTTTAGGACGACTGTGGATGTGCCAAGCTCGTGCTGTTTGGTCGCCTTACCACTTGGTAACGAAATTCTCAACGGAGTACGGGATAGGGATAGTACAAGAGTGCCAATGCAGTTCTCGAGAATGCCTCCTCACGACAATAAGAATAGGGAAAAAGGCAGTGAAATTTGGAGTTGACACCACCGCATCGGGGTGTTACTCAATCTAAAAAGGAGTTTTTTTAGTTAAATCCAAGAAAGAACGAACCCATGGATCTTAACCATCCCCACCAACCGCCACTTTGCAGTAAAACAGAGGAGTTAATCTTGGGCGAAAAGGAGCCGGAAAAAAACGATCCAACTTGGAGTGTCTATAGACGAAACATTGCGGGCCGAGGTAATCGCCTTGATACGTGAGTGTCAAGATATCTTTGCCTGGGCACTATCTGATATGACCGAAGTTCCTCAAAAAATAATCGAGCACAAGCTAAACGTAGATCCCAACGTCAAACCAGTACAACAAAAAAAGAGAATCTTTGCTCGAGACTGCAATGGCGTTATCAACGAGGAAATGCTTAAGTTAGTTCGTCCCAACATTCTTCGAGAAGTTCTTTCGCCCACTTGGTTAGCCAATCCAGTCCTCGTCCGAAAGCCAGACAACTACTGGCACATGTGCCCAGATTACACCGACCTCAACAAGCATTGCCCCAAAAATTGCTATCCTTTGCCGATTATTGACCAAATGATTGAGGGAATCACCGGGTTTAGAACTCTCAGCTTCCTCGACGCTTATAAGGGATATCATCAGATCCTTATGGCCCAAGAAGATACTCAAAAAACGGTTTATATCACCGAAATTGGAGGCTACTGCTATGATAAAATGTCGTTTGGTCTGAATATTGCTGGAGCCACTTATCAACGGTTGATCAACAGAGCCTTCTATGAGCAAATTGGATGCAATATCGAGATCTATGCAGATGACATGGTCATCAAGAGTAATCTCGACGACAAAATAGTAGAGAACATGAAGGAAATCTTCACAATTCTCCGTAAAATCAATATGAAGCTCAATCCAAAGAAATGTTCCTTTTGTATAGGTTCAGAGAAATTCCTAGGTTTTCAAGTCTCCAAGACGGCATAAGCGTGGACCCTACAAAGGTCAAGGTGATCCTCACTATGAAGGCCCCCACGACGATTAAGGAAGTCCAGAACCTTACCGGTTCACTTGCCGTGCTAAACAGATTCCTTTCTCGTGCAGCTGACAGAAGCCTTCCTTTCTTTAAGACACTAAGAAAGGGGAGGAAATTTGAATGGAATGAGGAATGCCAACAAGCTTTCCAAAACCTGAAGGAAGACCTCAAGCAGCTCCCTATGTTAGCAAAACCGGAGCCAGGGGACGTCCTGTATATTTACTTGGCTACTTGGGAAACGGCTATATCGGC